CCCACTCTTGATCAGTTTCGGAGTGGCGCGCCCCCTGAACTGGGGTCCGCACTTGCTGGAGAGGATACTTCCTAAGCTATCTGGGTGGTGGGTATCGTGTGATGACCCGGAGAAGGTGGTGAATGTGGTTTGTTTGGGCCTTTGAGATTGCTACTAACTCTGTTTGTAAGGTTCCTCCACTTCGCCCTGGCTGTATGAGTGACCGGTTAGCATCTCCGTCGTTCAGGGCCTCCAGGTATTCTACGCTGGTTAGGCTTGTCTCCTCTGCCTCGTTTCCTTCCATGACTGGTGACACAGTCAACTCAATTTGGCTCTTTCGGTGGACAGCTATAGAGACGTTCAGTTAAGCAGGAACGCTCTTCAACTGACACGTCTGCTTGTTTATAACGGTCATATAACTGAGGTCATACAAGTTATGCCATGCAACTGAAGTTATACAAGCAATGTCATACAATCTGAAGTCATGTATTTGCAAATGCTTGACTCGTACAGTGGCACGCTTACAACCACAATTAACTGTTAAAACCATGTCTAGTCTTGTTGTTCTTTCATTGGTTATGTTGATTGAGTATTTTGTTCTAGGAAACAGCAGACTATTTTATTCAGCTGAGGGATACACTCACTATTTAGTTTTAGCTCCTCAAGGTAAGGCTGGAGCAGCAAATGGGCCGCGGGCCGCATGTTTGACACCCCTGGTCTACACCTTTACCATATGTTTTTCCTATGGTATTTGATGAGTTTCGAACGAATTTGATATTAATTTCCACCAGAAATCACTAGTTTTTGAGATGGTGCACCTCCAACTCGGCCCAAACATTACTAACTTGGCCCACCTTGCATGCTTCAAACAAGTAGCTGACAAGAGGTTCAGGAATGAGTCTGAGATATGTTTTTTGTCTCTTGGTTCATTGAAATACGAAGAGTGTGAATGAGTGAATACCGAGGGTTCTATCGGTATTAAGGACGAAGTTTATGAGTTTATGTTAGTAGAACTTGGTTAATGAACCATGATTCCCATTCGTAACATGTTCTTCTCCAGGTGATTTCGAATAGGGTTTGAAATTATTGCTTCCAGCAATCTGCCTCCAATTGATGTTAAACTGATTGGACAGTAGTTTGAGGATAGTGATTTTTTTTTTTTTTTTTACGGGGATTAGCCTACCCGAGCACAGGTCACTGACACACATCGGGGTCTGGGGCAAAATGTAATAATAATAAATAATAAATGATAATAATTCATAGTAAATAAAATTTATAAAAAATAAATAATAAAATAATAATGATAAAATAATAACTCTGTAATAATAATAATAATAATAATAATAATAATAATAATAAAGAACCATAATTACAAAAATGAAAAAAAAGATCAAAAGTGAGAAACAATATATGTATGTTGTGTTGTCAAAGTAAGTGAAACAATTGAGACCCTGCAATTGTGTGTAAATGAGGCAGAAATTCAGATCAGCAACCTGGGACTTGGTCACAATTTTCGTGATGTCATATGGCAGCAGGGTCTACCATTAGACAACACATTATGCTTCCAATATCTTCCCAAGCGGTAGTACCTCCCTGTTTGATAGCTGCCTACTACTTACTACCTATCTCCCTTCTTGAAAATCGGTATTACATCGCTATCCTCCAGGATTCTGGTACTACACCCGTTTTTAAGGACATGTTAAACAACTTTGCTAAGGGCCTACTGAGCTCTTCCTTACATTCCTTAAATACTCTGGCAAATATCTCATCGGGACCTGGTGACTTATTAGGCTTTAGTTTGTCTATTTGCTTACTAACATCGTTACTAGTTACTACTATCTCGCTTAATTTGTTTTCTTCACTATCTCTGAATAGTCGATGCCTCGGGTATCATGTTTAAATTTTCGGTGGTGAATACTGTTGAAAAATATTTATTCAGATTATTGCTCATTTCTCCTTCATTATCAGTTAGCTCGCCGGTATCTGACTGTATTGGTCCAATCTTTTCTCTTGTTTTAGATTGGTACATTTGAAAGAATCCCTTGGGGTTTGACTTCGCCTCCCTTGCTACTTTCAGTTCATTATTCCTCTTTGCTTTTCTTATCTCGGTCTTAACCCTACCGGCCAATACCTTATAGTAATCTGGGAGGTAAACTTCACCACGATTTATCCTTCTACCTATAGCCTTCCTTTGTTCAATAATATTCTTTAAATAATTATTTATCCATTTAGGGTCATTGTTGTTTGATCTGCATTTTTTGTATGGTATGTTCTGCCTTTGTGCATTAAGTAACTCATTATTTAGTTTGTTGTGGAACTCGTCAACCTCAGATCTCGTGATCAGGTCATCCTCAACCGTCATATTTTGTGAGGTTATCATTGTCAGGTCTGCAGGTGAAGTGAGGTTACCCTCTGTGGGTACATTGTGCGAGGTCAGCTGTCTTTTCAAACTATCAAAGTTTGCCCTTCTGAAATCTGGGACTTTAATGGAATTTTCCTTGCGACTGCCCTTAAATTCTAATTGGAATCTAATTTCTTTGTGATCAGTTAGCAAGTTTGTTCCCTACCTCGACATTACTAATGAGGTTTTCTCTGTTTGACAGAACTAAATCGAGTACTGTATATTATTACCCCGGGTGGGTTCGGTTATATGTTGACTTAGGAAACAGTCCTGAACTGTTTCAAGAAAATCCTCTGATTCTGAGTTACCCATAAGGTCGATCCAATCTATTTGGCTAAAGTTAAAGTAGCCTACTATACAGACTTTGCTGTGTCTAGATGCACTATGCATTTTATCCCAAATAAGTCACTCATTAACTCTATCAAGATTAGGAGGTTTATATATTACTCCTGTGAATAATTTTTCCCAACCATTGGTTATTTCTATCCAAGTTGTTTCTGTATTCAGTTCAGTTTTAATTTCATTATTTATTTCACACTTCAGATTATCCCTGACATAGATTGCTACCCCACCTCCTTTCCTAATCTGCCTTCAGTATGGAATAATTTGTAACCTGCAATTTGGTATTCGACAGGTAACTCATGTGAGTCTAAGTTTATCCATGTTTCGGTGAATGCTAATATATAAATTTTTTCGGTACCCTGTACATAACAACGCCCTGAATTCATCCATTTTGTTTCTCATACTCCTACTGTTTGTGTAGTAGACATTTAAGTTAGTCGTGTTCTGAGTCCTCTCTTTGATGCGTTTAGGCTTTAACTCCCTGCCTAATTTAGTTTTGACATCATTCCTAGCGCTATTTATCAGTAACCTTTCACTTTGTTTACCCGCTCCCACTGCAGTCTCCTCCACCCCCATGTTCATATGTTCCCCGAGCAGTTTAAGGACTTTGGCATCTTTTGAACTGCCCTCTCAAGAGATCCAGCCAGGGTTGCCACCCCACCCCTAGCATAAAGGTCCCCTCTGCCATAAAAGTTGTCCCAGTTGTCTACGAATGGGACTGATAATGACTTGCAATATCTGTCAAGGCAGCCGTTGACACCAACTGCCCTTGACAACCATTCACTGCCAACTCTCCTTCTCGGCAGGACACCACATATGATAGGGATCCCTCTCTTAGTCATAATACGATTTATAGCTGTCTTGAACTTATCAAGAAGCTCTTCACTCCTTCACCGGCCAATATCATTGCCTCCTGCACTGAGACAGATAATGGGTTTGTTCCCATTACCAGACAAGATATTGTCTATCCTGTCAACTATATCCCCCACCCCAGCTCCTGGCAAACACACCCTCATCCTATTTTTATTTTTACCACAAAAAGCTCTATCCAGGTACCGTACCTGGGAATCGCTAACAATTAGGGTTTTCGTACCTTCCTTGTCAGCCTTGTCCCTGAACTATGCTAACGTCCAATTCGTCTATCAAAGGACTAAAAGAGTTTTTACACTTAGTTGTTGTCATATCCTTGGTGTCTTTTCTCACCACCATTTTGGTCGTTCCTCTCCTCACAACCTTCCATTTGCCTCAGTTTTCGTCAGACACGGGGTTTCCTTGTCTCGTGTCTTCTTCCTTCATCCTCGCTATCACTTCCTTTAATTTCAAGTTTTCTTCCTTGACCTTCTCTAACTCAGCCCTCAGAAGGGCACAGCCCTGTTCACAAGAGCACTAGCCATTGTAGACTGATTCCATTCTCTTTTAATTGTTTTGAATACCGTTAACAGTCGTCACAATTCTCTATTAACTGTCTCTCCTCACATTTACATGTATCCCCCAAGAGGGGTGTACAGGTGGTGTATATCACGTGAAACTGCGTCTCTTGAACATCACGGCAAATTGCGAAGGTTGTGATTATTCACATCGTGATTTATCAAACCTGGTTCTTGATGAATCTCGCTTGATGTCTTTCATTTGTGACCGTGGGTTAATTAAGAACACTTGCAAATGTTCAAAATGCGGAAGACTTACATATTACGAAAAACAACAACTTTTAATGTAATACGCAATCCAACGATTATGGTAAGTTGCTTAAGATTTCCATTTCTGTGTTTAATATCATGTTATTAGCATTATATTAAGAAAAATACATTTAAAACTTTTGCATATGACCTAATAGAACCTGACCTAACAAACCCTGGGTATATTAGGTTAGGTTCTAAGGGGGTATGTTAGGTCAGGTTCTATTAGGTTCTATGCATGTCATTTCCATTTTTGTATTTAATATCATGATATTAGTGTGTATTCTGTGTTTAACAATGCATAGAACCTAATAAAACCTGACCTAACATACCCAACCTATGGGTGTGTTAGGTCGGGTTCTATGCATTGTTGTTTCCATTTTTGTATTTAATATCATGATATTAGTGTGTAGAAAAAATTTCAACCAATTCGGACAATTGCTTCTGGTGGTAGCCATTGTCTACACCTTTGCCAAACCTATTTTCAATATCCAAAGATAGAACGGTGCTTTTCTATAAATTTGCCCGTCCTTATTTTCATTAGGTTGCTTGAGAAGCAGTGGTTACATTCCCTGAATACTCATCAGTATGTCCTGACTGACCTGAGATGTGGGCGAGTTACATGTCCCAGCTGCAGTGCCTGTGAGTCAACCACCCAACAGGAGAGGTCCACAGCCACAGCCTGCCCTTCTAAGGAAGCTAGAGGCAACAGTTCCCCCGTTGGGGACACAAGACCCCAAAGTTCCTTCACTCCCATGGTCTCCTTTTCTTCTTCACCCTGAAATTATCATTTATTTACTCAGTTGTTCAAAAATGATTTGTATTTATATTTACATTTGTATTTTCCTCTGTAATTTATCCAATCTCTCTTAATTTTCTAATATTACTTGGGTAAACCCGCTCGTACACCATAAAGCCTCCTTCAACAAGAGTACAGCAGCTACAGTCATAATGGTAAAATGTTTTCAGTGAAGTACTATAAGGATATATCCTTAGACCCACCCTGTTTGTGCTCTACATCAACGACATTGATGGAAATACTGTAAATGACAGGAAGATATAATGTGAACAGTTTATAAACTTACTTTTAAAACAGTGGCGACGTCATCACGATTTAAATGTCCCGTGATGTTACTAGACCACCACGAGCCTAACACAGAGTCCTATCTCACATATTTTTTATTGTTGTTAGACTATTGTATTACTAACCTTGTTGCGCACTTAAAGACCTTCGTTTTTATATCGAGTAATAACATTCAACAACAAGGAGCCTCACCTGTCCCCAACCGTGATTACTGAGCCATGGTGTTACTCAGTGGGTGGGAAGTCTTCTCGGACTACCTCCTACATAGTTTATGAATATGCTTATCAAATTTTAAACATGTAAGAATATTTTACTGAAGAAATATAATCATGTTCAACATCCTCTGCAGTACGAGACCAAACTTCTTCATCAGCTGAGTAATAACTGGCGCCCGCATGGCACCGTACTGCAGGGATACACCCACACCTTGACAAAAAAATCAAAAGTCAAACGAATTCATTGTACTGTAGCGTAGTGTATGTGGCCAGTTGTCTAATTTATCTTTGTGTTTGTCTATTTTCTCTTTGTTCGGCTCACATACCATGTATATACGTAACTGTAGATCTTATAGTGGATTCCTCCCCTACAAACGCTGTTTGTCGCTGAGTAGCCGACCCCGCGAATTCCCCAGTGTATGCCTCGTGGTCTAGGTCAACCAGCGCCGCCTTACATGACGGAGGTCAACTATTAAGCCACGCCTACCTCCGCTATAAAAGACCTGACCTCGTGGTGACCTATCTCTCTCTTTCTACCTACACCAACCAGCCAGCAACAGCTCCTCCTCCGCCTGCCTGGCGGTCCTCTCTCCCGCCGGCGAGCATGGCGACCCACAAGCTGGTCCTCCTCTGAGCACCCTCACCAACCAGCTCTCTCTACTCAACGCTTGTAACCATGCTGCCTTCCCAGCACCAAGCTGCATTGTACATCCAATACAACATGTATATAGAGAGCACATTGTGAGTTTCCTTTCTCCATCCCATCCTGAGTGTGAACCAACATCTCATACCCCACAAATGGTGACCCCCGGAGATTCGCACTCACACAGGATGGAGGAGAAACAGATCACGCTCCCAGTCTTCAAGCAACATGGAAGACTGGCTTATCCACACAGAGGCAGCTCTCATCGGCTCTACAGCTACTGTCTCTACACCGCAGGTTAGACACCCTAGAGCAGCTCTGCTTCTCTAAGCAGACACCAGCTCCTCTTCCTGCCCCAAGTACCACGTCCTACCCACCCCAACACACCCGTCCTGCCTCAGACGCCGCCCCGGTCCAGCAGTACCCCCTGCCGCGGCCCCTGCTCCTGACCCGGACCCACACACCCCTCTTTTCTCCCTCAGGTATCTCCTGCTACTGTCCTGCACCCTGCTGCTGTCGTGGACCCAGCTGCTGTCACGAGCCCTCATCTGCTGACGCAGCCCCTGCTCCTGACCCAGGCCCACACACCCCAGCAGGCGCATCTGACGACTCTGTACCTGTCGCGAGTGAAGCACAACATTCATCGCCTCCACAACCCTCTTTCTCCCTCTCTTCTCCCACAGATCTTGTGTGTCTAGACTGTTGCCTCCACTAGCGGCCGGCTCATCCACGCCCTCGCTGTTATGGCTCTCATGTGGCATGCACCGCCAGTTCTGCCTCACATGTGCCATGCAACCCTGCAGACAACAAGTCTCCTACACCGCCTGGAGGGAAGGGGAGAGTATTGTAGTGGATACCTCCCCTACAAACGCTGTTTGTCGCTGAGTAGCCGACCCCGCGAATTCCCCAGTGTATGCCTCGTGGTCTAGGTCAACCAGCGCCGCCTTACGTGACGGAGGTCAACTATTAAGCCACGCCTACCTCCGCTATATAAGACCTGACCTCGTGGTGACCTACCTCTCTTTCTACCTACACCAACCAGCAAGCAACACCTCCTCCTCCTCCTCCTGCCTGGCAACCCTCGCTCCCGCCGGCGAGCATGGCGACCCACAAGCTGGTCCTCCTCTGAGCACCCTCACCAACCAGCTCTCACTATTCAACGCTTGTAACCATGCTGCCTTCCCAGCACCAAGCTGCACTGTACATCCAATACAATATGTATACAGAGAACACATTGTGAGTTTCCTTCCTCCATCCCATCCTGAGTGCGAACCCAAACATCCCGTATCCCACACTGTCATGCACTGTTGGCAAATATTGGGCATGCACCGGCTCCTAAATGTACCTGAACCCGCTCCAGTGTTGGTCAAGTCTTGTCTTGAAAGAGCTCGCACTCGGTGCCGTCACAACACTCTCTGGTAGATTGTTCCAAGAGTTTACAACCCTCACTCCGAAAAAGTTTGCCCTCACAGTTTTCTGGACTTGCGGCTTCTTCAATCTTGAGCTGTGACCCCTTGTGGGGCAAGCGTCCACCAGCTCCAAGTAAGGACACTCGACTGAGTAGTGCCACCTGAGATGCTTATACACCTCAACTAGGTCACCCCTTGTCCGTCTGTAATATAAACTAGGCAAGTTCAGGCGCTCCAATTTCTCATGGTAGCTGAGGTGCCGAAGTGCAGGCACCAGTCTGGTGGCCCTCCTTTGACAATTTTCAACCAACTGACAGTCCCTAGCATATCTCGGGGACCAGACAGGGTGACAGTACTCCAGATGGGGAAGCACTTCACTCTTACAGATCGTTACAAGGGACGGACTGTCTAGATATCTGAACGACCTTCTTATAAGACCCAATAATTTATTTGCCTGGTTTACCTTCTTCTCGCAATGGCCCGAGAACTTCAGCTCATTGTCAACATACACACCTAGGTCCTTCTCACATTCAGTCTCAACTAGTGCAGTTTCTTCATCCCGTTGGGACATATGATACGTCTCCTTACCGTTGGTACACCCCAGGTGCATCCCCTTACACTTTGTGACATTGAATCTCAGCAGCCATTCCTTCGACCATTCCTGGAGCCCACAGAGGTCCTTCTGCAGCTCTTCACAGTCAGCTTGGTTCTTAATTTCCCGAAATAACTTAGCGTCATCGGCAAACATTTGTATGGAGGAGTGTACAACGTCAGGCATGTCATTTATGAAACAAACAAACAACAGCGGGCCCAATACCCTGCCCTGTGGTACCCCACATGTGACAGGTACAGATGATGATTTCGTGCCATTAATCACCAAACACTGCTTGCGGTCATGTAGAAAGTCTTCTATCCATGCGAGGACATTTCCCCAAATTCCGTACCCTTCCAGTTTGATTTTCAGCCTTTCATGGGGTACACTGTCAAATATGGGTCCAAATAACCAATACCTTGAGCAATTGTGTTAAGCAGGAGCGCCCCGGCATAAAACCGTGTTGGCAATCCTTTACAAGGTTGTTTCGTATTAGATGTTACATTGCGGCATCTCTGATAACACTCTCAAGTACCTTACATATTATGCTGGTCAGGCTCAACGGTCTATAGTTGTTCGTGGAGTGACGATCGCCCTTCTTGAAGAAAGGACTCACATAAGCCACTTTCCATTCACTGGGGACCATTTGTTCAACCAGGCATTTACAAAACAGGATCTTCAGGGGCTCTGCAAGCTCGTTGCACAACTCTCTTAGCACTCTAGGATGCACCATGCCAGGGCCGGGACTCTTATGGACCTTTAGCCTGGACAGTTTATTTCTAATACCCTCTTCTGTGAACACAATGTGGGTCAGTGCTGTGTCGAACCGTCTGTCCTCAAACGCAGGAAGGTTAGTTGCATCCACTCTTGTGAACACCGAGGAAAAGAAGCTGTGCAATGCCTCAGCTTTATCCTGGTCAGAATCTGCGTAACTACCATCCACATGCTTCAGGTCTGATACTCCTACTCGCGTTTTCAATTTTGACTTTGCATAGCGGTAAAACGCCTTTGGGTTTGACTTGACCTTACTTGCAACCAGCCTCTGGAACTCCTTTTCAGCCCTTCTACACTCTATCTTTGCTTGGTTTCTAGCTCTTGCATACATCCTCCTGTCTTGCTCATTGTTTGACCCAACCCACGTCTTGAATTTCTGGGTTTTCTTCTTAATTTTGTCGACTGCCGCATGGTTCATGTGTAGGGATCCCCTCGTATTCCTAGAAGCACTGGGTTTGGTCTTGAGTATATATTTATCAATCAAATGGGTCACTTTACTAGTTATGATATTCAGCGTAGTGTCTGCGTTCTTGTGCCTTAATGAGTCAGGCCAGTTGATACCTCTCATCTCTTCCCTCATCCCATTGTAATTTCCCTTGTAATATTTGCACCTTGGCCTGGCCTTATCCTGAACTAGGTAACAGTTAAATCTGAATGACAACACTATATGGTGACTGGTGCCAACTGGGGCAAGGTGTTCCAGTTTGGCCACCATGCCCTCCTCGTTTGTTATGATGAGGTCTGGTGACTTGGGTGTTTGCTCCCCTCTGTAATGTGTCGGGTCTCTAACATTGGAACAGAAAATTATCTCTCAGAGTTTCAACAAAAAGAGTAGCAGGGTTATTCAAGTCATTCGGGATGAGCTCGTTTCTCCAGTCAATGTCGCCATAGTTAAAGTCCCCCATGATAAGGAGGTGGCTAGGGTTGAGCATCGCCGCATTGTCTATTAAGGCTCTTAAGTTCCTTTGATTTAGTGGGCCACAGTTTGGGGATCTGTAGATACACCCGACAACAAGTAGGTCCCTTCCCTTTAGTTTAATTTTACACCACTTGGACTCTTCAAAAACATCCTCTCCCTGTACCCTCGCCTGGCTGGCTCCAAGGTCTTGCCTAGCAAGGTACTGTGCTTGTCATTCATGTACCGTATGTTTATTGGAAATAACACACCAATAATATTTATTGCTTTATTCACTGGCTCCTGCTGAGAATATCTTTATAAATGTTTAAAAAGGCACAATACACGATATTTCCTTTGGTTATTGGCACTATCATATTTCACACAGATAAACAGTATATGTATAATCCATTCACAATCTAAAAATTAACTCTACAGCCAACTACTTATTATCATTGATTATATTCAGATAAGCCCCATAACAATATTATTCCTCACTGTTACTTCACACACACAC